CCCCCCGCCCGCGCTCAGCCCCGCCGTCCCTCCCCGCCGCGGCACCTGCAGAAAGCGCTTCCCCTCGCCACCCAGCAGCCAAAAGCCGCGAGAGCGCCGCGCTGGTCGCGCGAGACTTCCCACAGCATGGCGCCCTCGAACGCGCCCGGGACGGCACGCAGGCCCTCCTCCTCGCGGCGCCGCGCGCGCGCTCCGCGGGAAGCAGGCCTCGACGTCCGCGCTCGCGCGGGCAAGGCCTTACCTTGGCGAGCTTCACCATGATGGCGGCTTAGACAGGCGGAGTGTGTGGCGGGCGAGTGGCGCAGATGAGTCCAAGAGGAACCCAAACGACGTCGATGGCGGCCGCTGGCTGAAGATCCCGGAGCGCGTACGTTTGGCTGCCAGCTAGCGCTCGAGACTGAGTCGAAAGACTGAGCCTGCCCAGTAATCGCCTCTGGAAAGACGACGACGGCACCCTCGTGACCCCACCTGGGCCAATCATAGTTCGCGTCCACCCCGTGAACCAATCGCGAGCTTCCGCTCGCGGACGGCGCGGGGCGGGGCCCGAGCGGGTGTGGGCGGGCTGAGGCCTGGGGAGGGGGAGGGGATTCGGCGGTAGCGTCCTGGGGGCGGAACCCGCTTTGTGCGAGGCGGGCGCCGATTGGGCTGTGGGCGCGCGGTGTCGGGCGCGCCCCAGCCCCCCCCCCGCGGCTTGCTCTCACAGCGCTTGCGCCGTGAAACGGACATTTTTGGCGCCGCGAGTGGCCGGGCCATGTCGGCCCGGCGGGTCGGGCTCGGGTCCCGGAAGGTGTACGGGTCCTGTGGCCCGGGCGGCCGGCGAGCTCCTCCGAGGCCGCGGGTGTGGGCCGGGCCGCGTCCACTCCGAGCCTCCGGGCGGCCATGGAAAGAGGCGTTTGCGCCGGTCTCCCTGCTGACGAGCCCGAGAGCTCCGGAAGTTCGGGGACCGCGAGGGTCCCTTACGCGCGTCGGGTCGCGTTAGCCCGTCCGCGGCCGAGACCCCCCTAACGCAGGTGCACCCCCCCTTGGCCGCCTGTCCGGGGCTGTTAATAAAGAGGGTCGTGTGTGTTTGGGCGGGTAGTGGGCCGGGCGCCGACGTGCCGGGTCACGCAGCCGCGTGCGCTGGGGCTTCTCCGAGGGGACCCGGCTCGCAGAGAACTTTGCGGGTCACAGCGGGGGAGGCTTGGTCTGGACGCCCGCAGAGCCTGGCCTTGGCCACGCTCCCGGTCCCCGCCTGTGACTTGGGGCGAAGCCCCTCTTGGAAGGGGGATGGGGAGGTTGGTGTCACCACATGGCCCAGGAGCAGGTTCAGAGAACCAGGGTCGGCCCTCGAGGGCCGAGGCGCAGGCTCCTGCTTTTGCCAGTTACCCCGATGGGTCACGGTGGGCAGAAGTTAGTCGCCGCCACGCGGAAACCAGAAGGCGTCCTTCAGGTCGGAGCCTGCCTTGGCATCCGCTACCTAATGGTTCCTCGGAAACCAGGATGCCGCGGCCATGACGCTGCCCCTGCTGAACTGGAGTTTGGAGTCACCTTTGCAGATTCTCATTAGAGCGGTCTGGGGCCCAGGACTTTGTATTTTAACAAGGCCCCAACGGGTTTCTTGTGAGTAATCCAGTTATTTTGCAGTTTAACTAGCACACTCCTGGGACTGGGTGAGTGAGAGACCCATAGCTGCCCATGGGGCTCTGACCAGGGAGGCGGCTGGGGCGATTGTGTGGTCTGTACCCCTTCCTGACTGGTGGAGGCTCCTTCTCGGTGAGGGCCCAGGGATGCCTGGTCATGGGGCCAGAAAGAACAGCATGAGCCAGGGCAAGGCAGAGCCCACTGCTGTTTCCCGAGGCCCAGAGCAAGGTTAAGGCACTGGGAAGAGGATGGAGATGAATGCTGAACTTGATCAAAGGGCAGGATGCGTTCCAGAAATACAGGCATGGCAGGCTCCTTGTGGTTCACATCTCAGTCTCTTATCACCTCTTACAAATCCTTTCCCAACCCTCTAATGAGAAGGGCCACCCGGAGACTCCCATCACATCCCCCTGAGTTCTTTGCCCATGGTGACCGCTGCCGGTGCTTTTCTTGACTTATCTATATGCTCCTTCCCTGGCCAGGAAAAAACACTGTTTTCTGCTGTGTGCCTGGCACTTAAAGCATTGCCTCGTAGGAGGTGTCAGAAGTTACTTGTTAAGTGGGGGCCTCCCTGGTGGCCAGGGGGCTAAATCTCAGCATTGCCATTACGAAGAGCCATGGCTACCCCTGAGTTTGCGCCCCAGGCAGGGAGCTGACCCACATGGTGCAGCAGGCCTCCCGTTTCACCCACTGTTCCCTTAACGGTCTATTTCAGGGCCTGCCTGGTGGCTCACGGGGTTGCAGCGCAGTGCTGTGAAGCTGTCCACAGCCACTGCAGCGCAAGCTCAATCCCCAGCCAGGGAGTGACCCACAGGCCACAGTAAGCCTCTCCTGTCTCCCCTCAGCAGTGGATTTCAGTGGGTCCTCCTGTTCTGCTCCCCACTGTCTTGGGAATCCTCTCACTCCCCCACACCCGTGGCCTACACCCAAGTTCTTGTTTGCATAAATAAATCATTCTTTTTTAAAAATGCTTATGAGAGGCCCTCCCTGGTGGCGCAGCGGGTTAAAGCACAGCACTGAGAATCTGAAGCCACTTCCGCATGAGTTCGATTCCCGCCTGCCGCCTGCCGGGAGGAGACCACATGGCGAGCCAGACCTCTCCTGACCCGCCCGCTGCTTCCCTCAGCAGTGTACTTCGTAGATCTGCCTGTTCTGCTCCCCGCTCCGTCTCTGGTGAAGCTTCTCACCGTCCCTGAGCCTCTGGCCTGTACCCCAGTTCTGTATGCACAAATAAATAAATCTTTAAAAAAAAAAAAATGCTTATGAGATGTAAGCACTATTCCAGTTCTTCCTACATGAGTTTCTTTACTTTAAAATCACCTTACAATATTTCATCACTTTTATAGAAACTTGGAGACAAGTAAATTCACGTGTCCAGCTACTGAGTAGAGGAGCTAGGGTTGTGTTGAGACCTGTTCTGTCACCCCAGTCTCTTGTCCTCTGAAATGGTGATCTAGCATCTGCCACTTGCCATGAGTGTCCCATTACATACGGCATGTACTTTCTGAGGACATGTAGGAAGCCCTCGGTTGATAGAGGCCATGGTTATACAAAAGGGGTGACTTGGCTAGAGAGGAGAAAGGGTTATCCCCGTTATCCGGCCGTTTTGAGCGTAAGCAGGTGGCACAGGAGGGCTGCAAGTCTGGGGGACACTCGTGAGGTCAGTGTTGGACACATGAAGTGTGGAAGCAGACACGAGGGGTGAGGCGCCTACCCCCCGCGGCAGCCAGATGAGGAGAGGAGAAGTGGGCCCCGAGGCCCAATAGGGAGACAGCTGGGGTGGGAGAAGGTCCACAGCAGGAGCAGAGCTAGACAGGGGAGTTGGAAGCCAGGGGAGAAAGGTGCTTCAAGCAGGGAACAACAGTGTCCAGGGGCACGGAAAGGTCAGTCAGGAGGGTCCACTAGTGTGCTACTGGAGACAGAGGTTTAGCGTCTGCCACGCGGTGGAAGCCACCAGGCTGTGGATGGAAGAGGGAACAGACAGGAAGCGGCTTCTAAGTATAGGGTGCCCTGGCTGAGGCTCCTGGGAGAGGGAGGGGCCTGAGGAAGGAGAAGAGAAGCCAGCTTACAGCCTGTGGGGAAGGAGCCGCAGAGGAGGGCTGGCATTTCAAACAAGCGAGAGGGCAAGCCAAGTGAAGAAGGAGCCTTGAACTAGGGGGGCCTGGGCCAGACTGGCTAGAAACTAAGGCTAAGAGCACATGGCACCAGCAGGCCCAGGACAGGCCTTTGCTCTGCATCACAACGTGCCTCGCAGGTGCCAGGCAGCACCTAGCAAGCCCCTGCTCAGGCGTGGAAGGTGGGTAAATGCACGTCCCACAGCGGCGTGGCCTTCAGCTGTGAGAGGGGAGGGCCTGGCATTGCTGACAACGTGAGTGAACTTGAGGGTGTTCTATTAAGTGAAACAAATTAGACAGAAAGGCAGTGCTTTTGGGGGTCACTCACACGTGGAATCTTCAGGAAAAAAGTCAAAATCATCTAAACAACAGGACAGTGATCACCAGGGGCTGCGAGGGGGTGGGGGTGGAAATAGGGTGAGGCTGGTAAAAGGCAACAAGATTTTAGCTGTAAGGAGCCCTCCCTGGTTACACAATGAGGCTGAAGCCCCTGCAGCACAGTTCAATCCTGGACCAAGGAGTGACCCCCAGGGCGCAGCAGACCTGTCTCCCTGCTGCTCCCCTCAGTGTATTTCATTCAGTCTGCCTGTTTGCTCCCCACTGTCTTTGGTGAGTCACTCCTGCACCTCAAATAAATCTTCAAAAAAACAAAAAGATGAGTAAGGTCCGAGGTGCTAAGGTGAAGAAGCATGGCTCCTTTAGCTGACAACAATGAGCTATGAGTGGAACTTAAAAGTTCCCACACAGGGCCCTCCCTGGAGGCGCAGCAGGTTAAAGCACAGCACTGAGAAGCTAAAGCCACTTCACCATGAGTTTGATCCCCTGCCTGGAAGTGACCCACCTGGCGTGGCAGACCTCTCCTGGCCCGCCTGCTGCTCCTCTCAGCAGTGTTCGTCAGTTGGCCGCATGAGTTTGATCCCCGCCTGCCCCGGAGGTGACCACATGGCGCGGCAGACCTCTCCTGACCCGCCCGCTGCTCCCCTCAGCAGTGTACTTCGTCAATCTGCCTGTTCTGCTCCCCACTCTGTCTCTGGTGAATCCTCTCCCCTCTGCATCTCTGGCCTGTACCCTGGTTCTGTCTGAATAAATAAATCTTAAAAAAAAAAAAAAAATTCTCTCACAAGGGCCAACAGGAAGCGAGACATTCGAGTTGCAAGAACAACTTGCAACTTTCACAGGGCAGATTCATGTCACAGATGTACATTTCAAACTACACCTCGGAGCAGATGTTCAACAGCATCTGAAAGTGACTAAAGAAAAGCTAAGGAGGGCCCTCCTAGGGGCACAACAGGTTCTGCTCCCCACTGTCGCTGGTGAGTCCGTTCACCCCGCACCGCTGGCCTGTACCCCAGTTCTTGTATGGATGGATAAATAAATAAATATATATATTTAAAGCCAAGTAAACAAGAGAATAAGCAAACTGCCTGCAGCCAGAACAGGGAAGAGCAGCTCACCTAGAAGGTGCCCCGTAGGCGGCCTCCCTGAGGTCCTGCTGCTGTGGATCCTGGGAGAGTTACGCCATCTGAACCTGTTCTGGGACTTGACGGTGAGCAACTGCGAGACAGGCCCGCTGCTTGTGCTCTGTCTTCTTTTCTCCCACAGAGGGGAGGTCAGAACATTCCTAGGACCAGTTACCCACCGGGGCCCACCCTGTGCTTGTTCCCTGACCAAGGTCAGA